ATATAAATGCATATTTTGCCTGTTTTATGAATAAGCATCATATTTTCGAAGATCTCTACTTATACTGCATATTTCCTTTTAGAAAAGTTTATCATATATATTTTTTAATTTTATGTTCAAATTTTCAATCATGGTCGTGTGTATACAATTTTTATGTTCTGTATTAGAATATGTTGCATATTTGACTTAACATTTCATCATGATTCATGTTTCTGATGCAATACCCAGGACGGGACTTCCCCGATCCCTCTACTCGTAACTTGCCTCATCCGCGTACCATCAAAGTGGCCACGAAGAGAACAGTCCGAAGCGTTCACATGCAGCCGCTATCAATGTAATACTATTCAACCGATAAGGGACTTCACTTATTTATTTCTGAAGTCTCCATGAGGTTCGTTACGCTTCTTCATTTGAAGCTGGGGCCATTCACATTAGTGGTGACTAGTCTGCAGTTAAGTTTGTTTAGCTTTCTGTAGTCTTGCCGACAGTGAAAGTAAGTCAGAAAACTAAATTACAGCTGTATCAGCGGGAGTTCGAAGGAGAGATGATAAGCACGGATAACGAAATTCTTTATTGCCGAGCGTGTGAGAAAACGGTTGTGAAAAACACTTTCAAGTGCTTCAGCATTTGAACACTAATATACACAAAAAGAATATTAAAATTAAATCCACGAAAAGTGCTCCTGTTCAAAAATTGCATAGTGAATTTTCTAATAATAGTTTTTCAGTTTTCCTTTGATTTATGCGAAGCCTTTTTGGCGGCAGATATTCTGCTGTGGAAACTAACCAATCCTGCTCTGAGAAATTTCATAGAGAGGTATACACAGTGCAAAGTGCCGGACGAATCTACTGTGGGCAAAAATCACATGAAGCAGTGTTACAATCTTACAATTGAAAGCATTAGAGATAAGATTCAAGATAATTTTGTGTGGGTATCAATCGACGAAATGCAAGATTGTAGGGGACGGTTTATTGCAAACTGTATAGTTGGATCCCTTAATAAGAATGAACAATCTACCCCACATCTTCTTGCGGTAGAGCAATTTGAAACCACAAATAGCTCTGCAGTTTCCAAATGACATTCAGTATGAGCGCGTATTGCTCTTGTGACTGATGCTGCAAGTTATCTGATGAAAACCGGTACTGCTCTTAAAGTTATATTTCCAAATATGACACATCTGACTTGCCTTGCCCCTGGGTTGCACCGTGTTGCAGAAACAATTTGTGCAAATTTTCCGCTTGTTGACAAGTTGGTGTCTTCTGTGAAGAAGGTATTTGTTAAAGAGCCATACAGAAAAGAAACCTTTAAAGCAGTAGCACCGAGCGTTCCACTTCCGCCAGAAACAATTTTAACACGCTGGGGCACATGGTTTTGTGCAGCTAATTATTATACCAAACATTTAGAAACAGTTAGGAATGTCATGAATACATCTGATCCCAAAAGTGCAGAATCAATTCAAATTGCCCAAGATGTACTAAAAAACGCAGATTTAGAAACTAATCTTTCCTATATATCTGCTCACCCCCTCCTTGGTGTCTCCACCTTATCGTGGTGAGGGGGTTTGAGTATGCCAAGGACCCTGAGAGCTATACCAGCGGTAGCGTAGCTACTGGCAGGGCCTCCCTTGCTGGACAGGTCAAAGGGTAGGCATCAGACGAAGAGAGACACCAAAAACTGATGTCGGAAGCAGCGTCATCAGCAGCGACTTGAAGCACAGAGCAAATGATGCTCGAGATGGTTCAAGTTCGTATAGCAGCAGGCGTGACCAGAGTGGTTTGAACGGCTGTTGTACTGCGATGTGGAAAGCAAATGGAAAAACTACCACATTATCACTTTTCCTGGATAGTCTCTTTCCAAAAACAGAAGATCGCATTAAGTGGAGAAACTGTTTTGGAAGAGACTGTGGACCTGTCGTCTGACAGATTACTGATGATGATGATGATGATATCTGCTCACTTCTCTCATCTTCCATCCGCCATTTCCTCACTGGAGTCAAGAAATAGCAATACTACTTTGTATCAGTCGTTAAGTGTGTTCAAAATCACTGTTTCCAAATTGAATTCGGTTCCTGGAAGAGTTGGTGAAGTAGTAAAGGGAAAAAGCACACTGCATTCTTTAAAAAAATCCAGGATACGAACATATCTGTGAAACTGAAGAAATTTTAGCAGGTAAATGTACTGAACTGGCAAGTAAAAAATCACTAACAGTGGAGCAAATAGCGGCTTTTGTACATGCGCCCTTAAGTTCCTGTGAAGTGGAAAGAAGTTTTTCCCGCTATAAGGACATCTTATGAGACAACAGGAGGTGACTAACTACGGAAAACCTAAAATATTTAGTAATTGTGAACTGCAGCAGAAGAGATGCTGAAAGTTCAGAGAGCTAAATGTGAGTACCACTGGTTTCCTAAATTTACAATGAAATATGTTGGCTTTGTTGCATGATTTGCATTTAAGTATAGCTTTTGGTTGCAGGTGAATCATTCATAAAATGAACTTAAGAATTGATTTTTTGGTCTTAAAATAATGTAAAATCAATTTTAATATTTGGTATAAGTTTTTATGTGCATATTTCAGTGCATATTTTGGAAATTTTTCATGCATCAATGCATACATATTTAAGGGATTATTAGGGCATATAAATCCGGTCCCTACTCATAACTTACACTTGAAAGCCACAAAGAATACAGTTTTCCCGTTACATTTAAGTATTATAAATCATATATTGTAAGAAACAATACTAATGTTCCCATTTCTTATTATTTTCATTACAATGATGGAATTCAAGAATGTGAAATACACCCGTCAACAAGATTAAGACTGCATTTAACCTTTAAGAGCCTAGCGACGCCATTTGGCGTCATTAAAATGAAGTCAAGGGGACGAATGACACCATATGTCGTCGCACAGTCCAAGCGTGCGGCCGTCTTTTTAAAATCTAATTTTAAGTTATAAATTCTTTTTCTACTTACATGATTTTTGGTCACCATCTTTATAAGTTGTCTCTCTTCCCACCTGCATCATCTAACGGAATGTTGGCTTCGTGTGGAAATCTTGGAAACATCCAAAAATCCAGAGTCCGACGTCACACTTCACGCACTTTGTCCGGACGGTTCTTCATTTCCCACGTGAAAAACACACACAACACCTCAATTACGAAGTAGAGGAAGTTGGCCAGTGATGTGGTTTGGCCTCCTCTAATAGAGATATCTCCGATGAAACGGCAGGAGTTCGACCCCTGGGCCGTTGATGGCGAGGTGAACCCCTTCCAGCATGTTCCGCACAAGAGCGAGACGAAATTCTCTGTGTGACAACAGGATGTAACTGTTCAGATCCAGGAGATGGAAAAATAGTTTATTTGTCCATTTCCAGGTTCGATGACAGATGCTATAACTGCTTGCCACAGTTTGCCCACAGCTCCACCTGAATAATTATTCACACTCCTCTTGCCATGCTGGTGTGGTGGTCCACAGGTTGCCGACGAAGATGATGGGTCTTCGTCGAAATCCATTTATGAATCACTTTCCTCAACGCCACTCTCAGAATTGTCAGTAAAACAATCTGATTCGGAGTCATTTATGAGTTGAAAAATGTCTGAATCTTCCAAACGAGACCACGCCATGGTGAGCTGACAATATCACTGTTCTCGCTGTGAAATTTTGAAGCTTGATGACACTGCTTGGCTGTGGTATAAAGATGATAGCCTTGAGAGTTGTGATACACTAACCGAGCAGGGTCAGTACAAAGAACTTGTTGTGTATAAACAATCAACGTTCTTATAAACGAAGAGATACTCGCCCCTCATCTCTGCATTACGCCCTCATCTCTGCATTACGAACGAAGCTACTATGTGTATAAGCTTCGAGACATGCAAGACGAAACATGTCTACATAACCATCCGCTGTGTTGCCACATCTACATAGAGCATTCTTAGTTCCAAGAACTATATGAATTCTTGTAGACAGATGACAAATTTGGAATTTTATACTTGGAATCAGTCTAAAAATTTTTACACATTTTATATAGTCTGTAAATTACAATATCTGTTCCTATATTCTTTCTAGAAAAAAGCAGCGTTTATTTGGTTCGTTTATCACAAAAATTGTAGAAATCACAGCAATTTTAGGAAATGATTACAGTTTTTATTGCTTTAAAATTGCGGGTATTTAAATCAAATCCGTCCCGCTGCCATTACCGCAATTTCAAGGGCCGTCACTTAAAGGTTAATGATATAAGAAAATCTGATATATTCATTCATTCATCTTCACCAGTTCCGTACTGGGCAGAACAATATTGCAGAAATAATAACATATCTTAAAGAAATATAATGAATACTGAAAATTGGTATCTGTTCACATTCCAGTTCAGTAATGGAAAGGTTTACATGGCAAAAGTAACACATCTTACAAAAGAATGTAATGAATACTGACAATCTGGTATATATTCATCTTCCAGTTCAGTACTGAATATGATTATATAGCAAAAATTAATAATATATGTTAAAGAAATGCAATTACTATTGAAAATCTTATGTTCATGTTCACCAGTCCAGTACAAGTAGCATTATATGGCAAAAGCAAGAGAAGGAATGCACCTGTAACAGAAGTGAATAACAATGTAATGAAAATGAAACAGGTAAAGAAATTACATAAATAGTCCTACCCACATTCAATTCTGCTTCTTAGAGTTTCCAACTGAGGTGGATAACCTGAACTTTGCAAGTCAATTATGAAGTAATGCCTCTTCATTCTTACCTACACATAAAGAAGACTCATGTGTGTCAGAAAACAATTTCCCATACACTCGATTGAAATATAATTTCTTGAAGATAAAGGCCAGAATGAACTCTTACCCAGTCAAGTTCTAATATTCTGAGATGAAGGAAACATGTTTGCACAGAGGCAAAGAGTTGGAGCTCAAGTTCAAAATAAGTTTCGTGTATGTAATCGAACTGTGGGTGACCATGTTTTCATTCACTGCAACATGTTGGCAAAGCGGGAAAGAGATGCAGCTCAAGTTCAAAGTAGATTTCTTGTGCGTAACTGAACTGTGGATGACGATGTTATCATTCACTGCACAGTAGTTTCTGTTGCTGCACTGCAACTGCTTGTCACCAGGGATACTTTCTCCAACTTACGAAACATTTAATGATGCTCATGTGACTAGTTGGCACACATATTCTTCCAATAATTTCATAACTACTCTCTGTCAATTTCCAGGGCTAGTATGGGCAGGCCATTACAAGGCAAAAATGAAGAAGCATTACTTTCATAATGACTTACCAATGAGACAGTATCTTCATCTTCCTCTCTGTGGCCCTCTGCCTGGCTGCTTCAGTCATCAACCTGTTTCTTCGCTTACACCACCAAGGAATGTAAATTCGTATGAGACATCTCACAATACTATCTACTATTCATTGGTGGTGAAGCGAACAGGCAGAACACCTAATCCATTTGAAATCAATGGTGCTCTTGATGGCAGCTGTGATATGCTGCTCCACTGAATTCAAGTGGGTAGCCTCTGCCATTATAGACTCCATCAGAGTTACAGCAGTACCAACAGTCTCCACCAGCTTCTCAGATGGATAGGTGAGAGACTGTTCTGTATCACTGCACTCCTTGAAATATATGAAGACATTGGCTGATAGCAGCACTTCGGATGTCAGGCATGTCTTGCATGCATCACAGCTGACAACACGAAGCACCTGTCTGACAACAGAACCACTGATGTGAGCTACTGAGAGCACTTCCATGTCCCCATCAGGTACTGCAGGACTCCATGTCCATCTGTACTTGCTCAGCAACATGGAAACTCTCAGGCACACCAGCAGGGGTTTCCTTGTGGAAGGATTTCGTGAAGCAGCTTCAGGTGCCCTGAAAAGCGACTGTAGATTATCCAGAAGAGTAGAACCATCATCCTTCATTTCCCCCAGTCCCCTAAGTGCAAGGCCATTGATGATGCTAGTCTTCAGGGCATCTACAAACCGTCCCACAATTGGGTTATTATTAGAACCACAGCACTAACAAATAGCCCCAAATGTGTTCTCCAGGGGGTCCTGATTCAGGTTTTGGGTGTGAAGGTACTGAAAACCCACCTCTTTCAGTGTCCTCCACAGATGCTGGGCAGTAGTGATGTCAATCAGCCACCCATTCTGTGAAGGAGGATGATGAAGAAAGGCAGGTTTGCCATCCTTGAGGAAGATCCAACTCTTTATCCCCATACTTGCCCTTTTCCAGAGCTCTATATCGGGACTGCTGTCACTGAGTGGGCAACACAGTGCTTTCCGTCGGCCAACACTTGTTCCACCACTGAAACTATCAAAGAGGTTGTCAACCTCGCCAACAAACACAGCTGTTGCCATGTATTCGCTGCTGCACAAACCTGAATGGGAGGGGAAACAGAAGTTAGTGTGCCTCCTTACATTGTGAATTACAGTTTCTTTACACTGGAAAATAACACATTACTTTCCAAAGGACTAACGTTATACAAAACTTGTACATTTCATTACATTATTCCTCATATTAAAATCTTTGCCATCTAATTCACCTTAATCATATCACAGACAGTGTCATCTGCTTTTCAAATATTTCTTAATTATCCTAAAACAGTATCTGTGACATATTCTACATAACTTGTATATTGATACAGTTTCAGAAGTCAATTCAAGTCAGATGATAATGATGTTTGTTTAATTACAACTGGGTTCTGGGGCAGTAACTTTAAAAGTAGTCCTCATTATTAGTCACTTCATTCATATAAGAAACATATAGTGCTTACCTGTAGCCACTAGAGCACTGAGGCTTTCTGCACATCTGTTAAGGTGTACCCTTTCAGCTGTAGTGAAACCACTTTCAGAGAAATGTTTGTTGCACAGAACTTTATTGTGTAGCATTCTAGCAGAATCAGTAGTACAGGATAACCCAACTCTTCCTGCCCATACCATAGCCCTGTAAGAGTATTACATATTGTCTCAAAACCTTGAAATAATTCATCAGTAAACATTACAAACATGGTGTAGGTGCTACATTACATCATGTACTAAAACAGATATTCATTCATTTATTTACTTTCCATTAATCCTTACATGGGTGGAAGAACAGTGGATACAGTAATAGTCAAAGACAACAGGACAAGTTCCATCAATAATATAAATAAAAATTAATTATATTTAACCCATAACAATTACACATATTACCAACGACAAATCACAGTGAGTAAATCATTAACACAGTTTTCAAATATGTACGTGTATGTGAAAGAATGCAGCACACTGACACAAGACTACAATAATGAAACATGAAAGTATACTACTAGGCAGCCAGCATATAACAGACCAAGATCATTAATTAATATTGAAGTTAAATTATTCCTCCAATGAGTAAAATAGACTTACCCTTTGGTACCTATCTTTCACATAGGATTTTATCAATGCACTGGCCTTACCAACTATTCCATAAAATTCTACTTTAGACAGAGAGAGGCAGATAGACAGATACTGACAAAGTCAAAAGTTTTCTTCAAATCACAGAAAATGCCGATGAACATTACTGGTATTGATGTTGTCCAGCTATTGTTCGAAAATAATTATTAAAAGAATCTGTTATCACATCATGATTATCAGTTAACTTCCCATCAATGTTTAAAAACTGTACACCTGCATTATTAATTTTGCTACCTGTGTCTGATTTTATAATGCTCCAGGTGGTTTTCATTTTGTTACTAGAATTAGAAATTAATTGATTATAATGAACATTTTTAGCTCCTTTAATAACACTGGCCAAAATATTACAGTATGTTTTATAATATTATTTCAGATCTGGCTTATACCGTGCTGAATCCCTGGGAGAATTGAAGAATATCATTCCAGTTTCTTCACTGGAAGACGTGCATCCTGGAGCAAAACACTTCTTTTTCCTTCCCATTTATATTGCAAGAAACAATACAAAAATTACAAAAGAATCACAGTTACTCTCACTTTCTTGAGATTCTACGGTCCTTCTTTAGGCTACACCGAAAGATGCTTAAAATACAGAAATACGATTTAGATTAAGTATCATAGTAACACTGACGTCATGTTTGTTTCTAATTTCACTGGGCGTAGTAAGCATAATCCATATACATAAGTAACACACAGATGTAAATTCATGCCTAAATGTCGACTCTCGTTTCACAACATCAAATCAAAGGTCCTACTTACTAATTAATCTAATTAATTGCAGGACATACCTCAATGGCGACCACGTATCATCACAAACTACGCAGTCTTACTGAGCCACCGACCAAAACGCCCAAAACCTTCAACAGAAATTTAAGATCCTCTGATTGGCTCACACTTATGCAATTCGATTAATTGCGACAGGTGTATTATGATCGATTCCAGTCATTTCCAGACTATCTAGTTCATGTAGCTGAATAGAGATGGGTGTTCTGCATGTTTCCCTTTCCCCAGTGGGAGTTTCACCCCCCTGTTTCTGACTATACAGCCTGCTCCACATTAATTCTGTTCTGAATGTAACATGTGTTCCACAGTCCCAGAACATATAGATACTATGCAAGCAGTTACCACAAACAACAAAGAGTTCCTGAAACTGCACTGCAACTGTCTCTGCACAAGCACCCTAGCCTATATAAAAACAAAACTTCAATCCCCTCACAGCAAGAGCTGGACACATACATCATTGCTAAATGGGGAAAACTCAGAATTATCGTTTTCACGGACAGGAATGACAATACACTGAATAAGTCAGTAACATGAAAAAACAAAATGGGAGGATGGAAGAATAATTAATTATTTTGTTCATCATCTTCATCTGGTTTTATGCATGCATAAACATACTGCAGGAAAAAATTATACTTTCATCTGAAAAATTTAAGCACTGTGGCTATCTCACACCCATAATTTGTGCAGGTTTGTTACAAGACATCTCTTACAAACCCTGCTGAACTATAAACCAACTCCCACACAAATCTTCAAGGCATGGAACATAATTAAACACATGGACAACTCTATTTCAACCTTCAATG